ACATAATCATCAAAAGATAAGGTTTCATATAGTCAAGTCAAGGACATAAGTTAATTAGTAAGTTTTTGAGTTATAAGTCAAGTCCTTAGGTGTGGAAATATTTTTGTCACCCACCTGTAAATTTAGCTTATCTTCAATGTGCTGGCCATTTTTTGTTCTATATAAAGTGATTGAGGTTTTTAGATTTCCTGCACCGTACGTACGTACGTACATGATGTTACTAATCAATCTATGTAGTTTATGCAAAAATTATTTATTATAGTTTATAATAATTTTTGCATAAATAATGCAAAAAATTATTTTTGATTTTTTGCAATAAAACTCGCAATTAAATACGTTAAAAATATTCTTGATTTTCAGTATTTATAATACAAAATTTAATTATGTCGCTAGGTATAAACGAACGTAGATGATATTTCCCTATTTGTCTAATTTTCAGTATTTCACACAAAAAGGTGTGATGTTATGTTATGATAGGGAGAACTCAAATCAATACGCAGTCACAAGTAACTCAGATCGTAAGTATTATTAATAAATTGTTGGATTTTATTTGAGCGACAGAGGATACAATGCAATATATCGAAGGGTACAAAAGAAAGATCTATCGAAAAATACCAAAACGAAGATCTCCAATCAGCAAGCAAATCATACGAAAAATGAAGACATAGCTGTTAACTCTACAAAATATGTGGTAATAAAGTTTAATAAAGTAACTAAGATAATCATTACGACATTTTTTTCGTAATAGTGATCACATATTCAGATTTCCGGGATTTTCAAATCCCGTTCTAATCAGACCTTCAACTTCTACCAAATTATAACTATAGATGAATTATTATTATCATTTTTGCGTAATAAGCATGAATAAATAAAGAATTGTGATATGAGCAAAAACCTAGACTGTTTAGCAATATTGAGTTTAAAAATTTACTTTCCAGATTGCATTTGCTTCGCATTCAATAACTCTATATTACCAAATACATGTTTGCTTAACACTACTCACATATGAACTTGTTTTCATAACGAATTACTGGATAAATATAATTAGTCTACATAAAATACATCGTACGATTCCATCAAGGCTTCTAAGTTTAAGAAAATTTCATGACATTTCTGTGTCTTTGCCATACGCTAGACCTTAATTAAAACTTTCAAAGTTTTCTATTTGCTTCTTTTGTATATGCTATTAACTCAATTCTGGTGATGCTAAGCCTCAAAAAAACTATAAATACGACATGAGTTCAACAAAAAAAAAAAATTGGGGCAGCGCCAGAACTAGCTCTAGTATGTGCGAACGTACGTACGTAAGTATACACGTATATACCTGATACATGATCGTACGTACGAATGACGATTTTCTTTTGGCAGTGTGGCGGCTCACTACGTAATACAAATGCGTACCAAACACAAACTGATACGTATTTTAATGGTGTTAATAATTAGAGATGTGCCATTTCGCAATATCTCAAAGGTTATATATTTTCTTAGCAAAGATCTCATATATTGTAAATTAGGATGATTACCAAATTAAAACAGTTATTAACTGAACAGAACAGTTTTATTAAATTGCACCAGTGGTTAACATCACAATGCTATATCTCAAAAACATACTAGCTAACACACGTCACAGTGGGGTGTGCGATATACTATGTAAATCAAAACTATATGTGGTCCCTTAAATATTTTAATTAGTAATGATTTTTTTAG